GGCAGCTGCTCCAAACTGAACATTTGTTTCATGTTAACAAGGATCAGCCCCCAGAAATGTCCTCACATCTTTTTAAGTAGCTGCCAAGTGGCCGCCTGATGAAGGCAATCTAACATGGCTTAAGTGCCACTAGTTGACACACTGCAATCTTTTATTGCTTTCCACTTTGATCTACATAAGAAATTGGTGATAACTAATATACAGTTGATCTTTTCATTCTGGTAATAAAATGATAATAAGAGGATCTTATTATCCACTCCAGACATCCATCATAGTACATTTTCCAAAACGTACTACTCAGGGCGTTTTTTCCCCCATTATATCCAAGTCAAAAGTGAGGTTAAGTACTTGGCCTTAGATTCCTTTTCCCTCCAATACTTAGACATTGAGCTAGAAATAAAAGGAGTTGAACTTCAACCCTTGACACTACCCACATTAATATCATCTGCAAGTTTGTTGTCCCTGCATCTTAGATATGCCATTTTCTGTAAGAAGCCCAAAACAGTTGGAAGGTCAGACGAATAAATCATTTTGTTTTCAACTCCAGAGAGTGTTTATTATTGTAAGAAAATAAGAGAAAAGAGAACCAGAGAAAACAACATTGGAAATGGAGAAGTGGGAAGAGTAAATCTTGGTAGGAAGAAAGAGCTGGGCATGTGTAAAGGCATAAAGAAACCAAAAATAATGCAAACAAGCATTAGAGATTATGTTTATTAAAATCCATTTTTTATGTGGATGCAGAGGTGGCTTCAAGCCTTCCTGTGGGCAATAAGCAGATTCTGTAAATTATGTCATTGATTTGAAAATAAAAATAAAAAAGAAAATACTAACAAAACCAAACCTTGCATCCACTACATATTTAAAGTAGTTATTTATATGACAATTATGAACCACCTATAGTTTATAGGAGCAAGTTTAGTTTTCAAATTTTCAATGTATTTAAACCTTCAAAGAGTATATATAGCACTAACAACTTTAAAAGTTACTAGAAGAAGAGAGAGAGAGAGAGAGAGAGAGAGAGAGAAATTGGAACTATTGAAGCATGCAACATGCCACTGTAAAGGCCAAATTTGGGGAAAACAATATAAACACATAGCCTAATGACTTTGGATTTATTGTTGGGAGGTTTGTGGAAGACTGCCTTGGTCACTCTGAGATAGCATGACCAAGACATCACATTATGTACTTTGGCAGACATTAAAAAAATGCAGAATATGACCCTATTATTAATGCATTTGATTTTTTTGCATTCTTTATATCTTTAAAAGACTTCTTAAGGCAATTAATATTATGGAGCAGGCAAGAGACTATCAAACACTCACCTTTTCATGCAAATAATTCATGCGTTGGTCATAAAAGGACTATTCACTCTGACTTGGATTTCCTTGGTAATAATTTATTAAGGAATAGGTTGTCATAGTATACATTTTTGCAGAAATGATTTTATGTAAAACACTCTACAACATATCTGTTTTTGTTAATTCAAATAATTTTTCCTCTTTCTGTTAGAAGAATGTCACTTTACTTACAGTCCTTTCCCATCTCTCTTTATTGTAGCACCCTTCACTGCTCAGGGAAGAAAATATCTACATTAAAAGATGGCAGTTCTTTTAGCAACTTCCATATACATTTACTTTATGAGGGTAGATTGTTGTTCTCACTATTGGAGTTGATTAAGGAGGCAAGAGCAATCTGACTGCCCCTTTATTCTTATCCTGGACAGAGGAGAATGGAGAACCCGTAGGTAACACACCTCGCTGGTCCCCTCCCAGTCCACAATTCTGCAAACAATGACCTTAATCTAATTCCAAGTTGTATATGTCACATATATTTTAGCAATGACATAAGCTAATGGACATCAAAGAGCTGAGATTGGTCTGGGAATGTCTGCAGAGATATTCGGTTTGTAATCTGAAACAACAAAGCATGCGTTTTGACAGTGAAATGACCACTATTCATAGCGAAGGCTCTTTTTTCAAACGTACCCTCTCCACACATGAAAATAAGCTTTTAAGTTTTAAATAAAAACATGTAACATTTCTTGACAGCTTCTCCTATTACGGGGGAAATATTGGCCACAAAGAATCTGACGGAGATGGTCTTTGGAATTCAAATCTGCCCTTTCCCAAAAGAACCTTAGCCAAAGCCTGTCCATGAAAGAGTCTGTTGTTGTATCTAAACTACTGACACTGGAAGGGCTGAAAAAGAAACATATCTGCCGTCTCTTATCCTCACACAGGTCTGAATACCGACAGCCAGGTTTTCTCCCCCCTCACCTACTGCCTATTCTTCAATAGCCAAGATTGGCCAGTCTGGTACTATGCATCACTTCTTCTGCATATCAAGGAACATCTGCTGTAAACTGGGGTTGGTGGGGGTAGGATGGAGGTGAGGAAGGATGGTGCCACTATAGGAAACAGAGCAATTCTGTGTGAGTATAGAGAAATTTGGGGAGGTTTTCATTAAAACTTAATCATTTAAAGTTTGGTATTAACTCTCAACGCAAGATAATCTTTTATGTTATAGTTTATATATTTCCAGTGGAAATATTCTTAAAATACATCAATTAAGGTATTTCCTATTAATTTCATAATACAGCTGATATCTTCTTACATTTGGTATAAATTTTAGTGACGGTGGTGGTATATGGCTGGGATTTAATCAACATACATTCATCTCAGTTTCATACAAACTTATGACTCAAAGTTCATAAATGTCATACATGAACTTTCATTAACCTTCAAGTGTTTGGTATAAATTTTAGAGACGGTGGTGGTATATGGCTGGGATTTAATCAATGTACATTCATCTCAGTTTCATAAAACTTATGACTCAAAGGTCATAAATGTCATACATGAACTTTCATTAACCTTCAAGTTATACTGCAATGCAGATATTTTTTTATTTTTTATGGGGTAGGAAATGCACTCCAGGTGGAAATCTCTGCTTATTTAATCACTGTGAGTTAGATATTCATTATTGTATATAAAATGTCATCCTCTCCTCAAAGTTGAGTAATAACACGAATTCTTGATAGAACTTGGGCTTCTTGTTAAACCTGCCCAAGATTCCACAAATAAAACAAAGGAAAAGGAAATGAAACGTTACCTGATCATTGAATGCTCTTTCCTGGGACTGCTGTCAAGTTAAGGCACTTGCAGTCCTGTACAAGGTGTGCACCGAAAGGTGTGTCACAGTCATTCATTTAATTCAAGTAATTTAAATGTAGCACCTCTTAAAAGGGGGAAAATGCCACCCACCAGCAAAGTTTTTTATCCTTAAAGATAATACTCTCAGTAATATCCAGAGAAAAAATGACTATACTTAATATCAGACTCTTATAAGCCAAATGAAGGTAATGCATGAATGTAGGAGTTAGACTATAAACATGTTTTGAAAATTAATTTATGTAGCTGAAGAACACAGTTCATTTCATTGGATTAATTTCCATCAAACACTAGCACTTATGTGGTTGCATTTATAAATTGTAAAACCCATGTTTTATTGTAAGAGCACATAAAGCAGAAGTCTAAAAAGAAACATGTTTTCTCACATGGATTTCCTAAGATTTGGGAAGAATCTAAATATCTCCAGCTGCCTTAAGGCACAGATCTGTGTGAGTTGCCACTTGGCCTGCATCTGTGCCCCAGAGCTGAAGGCAAACTGGACCACAGGATTTGAGCTGCAAAGTCTGTGCACCTGCTCGGGAGTATGACAGAGAAGAGACGGGGTTTGAGAGGAGATGGGGTGTGCCTGAAAATTCCACTTGCAGAGTTTTGACAGATTATTTCAGGAGCTATTCTGTTTGAGATGGTAGTTTATGAATTTAATTTTTCTGAAGTCATGATTCCATGACCTTTTTCTTGCTATGATCAGAGACCGTCTTTTTTGCTATTTTAAAATGAATCTTAAAGTATGTGAAGCAAATCTGAGTTATAAGAAGCACAGTGTTGGAAGTTGTAAAAATTCCATTAGATAAAGCATATCGATTTGTAAGCATAAGACCACCATTTGTTCCTCAGAGGATAGCTTGTTGCCACTTGGAAACACAGCCTGTGGTTTGGGGTTTAGACTCCATCAACTCACATTCAGCACTTTATAAGGATAGAGGCAATTTTTTTTACTGATTATGACCATGAGAGATTCGAAGCTTGTGAGAACCACTTATTTAAATAGCTAACAATTCTGTTAACATTGGAGGAGATTCTTTAATGTGGTCAGCAAAACCTGGAAAAGAAAAATCTAAATATTTATGTAAAGAAAGGAAATAAATGTACTCTTTAGATAAGACTACAACTCAAAATAAAATCACAGTCCTTATATCCTTTCAGGTTCTCTAGTCCACAATCAAATAAAACTCAGTCCATGCATCTTTTCTGACTTATCATTTGGCATGCATATCACAGATTTAGTTATTTTTGCAGATATATGATCAGGATGTAAAAATTCATCATGTAGATACTCGTTAGGAACAAGAAAAACTTCTTTAGACAAGTAATTTTCTGTATATTTATAACTTGGAAAAAACACATTTTCCTATGTAAACGGTTGAATTTAGAAAGATTTAATACTAACTCTCAAAATGAAAGGAATTACATGTTTTTCTGTATTTGCGTTAAGAGACAAAAACAATAAGTGAAGGAAATAGGACCCATCGTATTTTCTCCAAATTTGGTCATGAAGAAGAGAGTTACTGGAGTCCAAGATCTGGCAAAATACAAATTCTACTCGACCTATCCAAAGGTCTATAGAGGCGTTTGTACCTTATGTCAAGAAACACTTGCCGCCTCTTTGTCACTTAGCGGTAGGGACTACAGCTGTTAAGTCTTCAACTGGACAGATTTCAAAATGAATTTTTACAACCCAGATGATGGACTGGTATACGTCAAAAGTGAATTCATGAGTTTTATAAATGCCTTTCTCTTGCTCTTTTTTTTTTCTTGACTAGCTTACATCATAATGGAGGAATAACATTTTAAGAATTTTGAATAGGCACTTACTGGAATTACAGTTAATCCTGATACAATCTAGATGGGGAAGAATAGATGAAAAATGAAAATTTATCCTTCAAGGTAATAGCTGCAGACATCCAATAAAATCACAGTCCACCCTTCCGGGGACAGACACATGCAAATATGGCCACTCCATAACTTTACGTATTTCTAGAACCCAGATTCATCGTTATAAAACTTCGCCATTGGAAACAACATCGGAAGGTTTGAAAAATGGCCAATTCAAACAAAGCTACATGGTGACAAATCTAAGTGGAATAAAGAATTGTCAACTGTCAAAGATGCTTGACTTGGACTGGCTGCGACTTCCTCCCCATCTGTGAAAGAACAGATCCTTGTTTTCAGCGTAATTAAAAAGTGCTCCGTCACAACGGGGTGCAGGTGCAAGCTCAGCGAAGCTCAGACATCTTGGACCTCCAAAAGCTAGTATCCCACAAAGGCCATCGGAATCCTTCAGGATCGGGGTGGTCCATGGAGAGCAAGTGGAAATTATTCTCACCTCACCCTAATGTCTTATTTTGGTTTTGCTTGGACAAAGAGGTCACAGCCCGAAGTTGGCTGCATTCCACGCCTTGTATTAATCAGAGGAGGAAAGAAACGCTATGTTTCTTTTAGAAACTCCAGTGGCTAAGAAGTAGTGTCACTGCTCAGAACATTCCTCAGCCTATGCCTCTCTTAGGAGCTAACAATGTCATCTCTATGCCGCAATAAGTGTCATGGTTGATGCTATTGATTTTCCCTTTCTTCTACTTGCTTCTTATGGAAGAGCGGGTTCTTTAAGGACAGGATGTCTGATCTGAATAACACAGACTGTGGTCACAAGGGTTATCTTTAAAGGACTATGTGGGGTGTTTTATGCTTATTTCATGTATAGATAAATATTTGTCGATTTTGGTCGTAGAATTTAATGCCTTTGGGGAACAGGAAAAAGATAAACCTAGATTCTGTTTCCATGTAGCTGAGTTTGTCATGTGTCGTCAACCGCATCAGAAAAGTGGTTGCAAACAGCCAAGGACCAGCATCTACACAGCTCTTTCCACAGAATGCTTTGCTGTTGGAAAACGTCCAGGAGTGTTTCCACTTTGGCTAGCAGCCCCTTTACTGCAATTAGTCAATTTATTTTGATTGGCTGTAGTAACCTATCATGGTCACTAGAGGGAACTCTAACAGAACAGAAAATGAGTCCTGTGTTTTCTTCAGTGATCTTTGAAAAACACCCTTATTATCTAACTTAATTTAACTAATACTAATTGAATGTAATGAAACAATTATATATTTTATGGGCTATCATTCTGCCGAGCACAATTAGAAAATGTAGGTGGGGTTTCTATAAATGCCTTACTTCCTCACATTTCCTACTTTTTTTTTTTAAATCTACATAGTTTCACATTTTTCTCTGCTTATTTATTTTCTCTGTTTATTAAGTTTTATGGGTGTTTATTGCTCCTTCCAGGTAATACAGTAAAACCTCATTAATGTGTGCTCCTCTTGGAGTTAATGATAATATTGAAAATTATTGGGCAGATTATTTATAATTCTTCATTCAGTCTGACTATAGACCACCTGAAAAGAATTAAACAAACAAATTGTGAAAGGTCAAGTTTAGGGAGAAAGCTGATTTCAACTACTTTACTATGTATTGATGGCCCAACCTGCATGAAACAATGTGCTAATTATGGATAATTCTTATCCATCCATTAAAGCCAGCCTAGTAACACCTTTCCTTAACAGGATTTTTTTCCCCAGCTATTAATTTGTGTTTCGAATACAACTGAAAATCAAACTGTTTAATTTTTGCTAATTCTACAATTCAGATATTTTCTTAATTCGGCCTGGCCTTCCCCCATGTTTCATCTGGGTTGTTGAGGTTTTACTGTAGCAACTCTTGCCTAACTCTATAATGAAGCAGGAAAGCATTATTTTTCTGAAGAAGAGCCTGTGTTTTTAGTGTTCTCGTGGCTGTTTGCTGAGGGCCGCAGACTTTGGGCATTGAAGGGTTGTGGATTGCTGTTTGATAGCAGAATATCACCACACAGAATTTCCAAACAGAAAAGATGAGCTACCACAAAGGTGACTATTGAAAGGAGAAGCCCATGGAATAGAAGAAAAACTACTGTTGACCTAGATCACAAAGTGGAAATTTGATATTTGGTGCATATGTTATCTCAGTAGATATATCTGAAAGGATATCATCTATAGCCAATCAGAATGCCAGTAAATATGATAATAGGAAACTCGATTTGAGGCCTCTGCAAGCCTAATGATTTATATTTTCAATTAACCTCATTGATATGGATGGCTTCCTTTCAAGAACCCTCAGTGGTAGGAATCACAAGACAGTAAATTATGGTAAACAAACAACAATAATAACAACAACAAAAAACAATAAAAAGATGCCCCCAAAACCTAAATTAAATTAAATGATGGAAATGAGACCATTAAGTGTTTTAACTTTCCATGGCAAACAGGCTACTCGATAAATGTTGGCAGGCAGAACGGAACAAAAAGTGAAAGGTGTTAGTTCAGTGGGGAAGGTGAGTTGTTACCTAGGTTGACCGTCAGTTTCACACGCCCTGCGTCCAGCTCCAAGCGGAGGGTGTCTGCCGAGTCCCTGGAGGTGGTTGCCATGAGAATGCCATATGCACGCTGGGATCGAAACCGTAAGGACACGTCCTCAGCCTCTGTGTGCATGACCACAGGGAGCTGGATCTTCATAAACATACTCCCATCGTAGCTCAGAACCGTTGCCTCTGTAGGTGAGAAATGAATTTAAATATTCTTGGTCCGTTAGGGCATTCAGACTTGGAAAAGGAAAGGAGTGACCTACTAAAGTCTTCCAGATAGAACACAAGACTACAAGCTCAGCTCGTCCGCTTCAGAAATGAGCAATTCTTTGTTAAGCTGAACAGAGGGGTCACAGTAGGGAGAACATTCTCAGTGAAGTACCTGCTAAAACCCAGGGGGAAATATGGCTGCACTTTCCATTTCATTCCCATAGCACTTTCCACCTATAGCATTGATCGTGTTGGATCATACATGTTTTCGTATGTGTCTCTCTTTCCAAGAGCAGAGATCGATTCTGCTGTGTATCTGCAGTGTGAGCCTGGTTGGAAGCTCGGGCAGCTATTTAATGAATGTTTATATGTGGCTCGGCCACTGACCAGCTCTGTAAAAGCCGCCTAGGCTCTGAGAGGATCTCATTTGCTGGAACAGGATCTTTAAGGCCTTTGCTCTCCTTAAAAGTTCCTGATTCTAAGGGCACTGAATTAGAACTTAAAACTACCTGTGGCCACAACCTTGGTATCCTGAAAATATGAAGCTATCACTAAAACGTCAACGACGATGTACTTCCTAGAGATGGCAGGTGGGATTGAAGAGCATGTGTGGGTGAGGGCCACTAAAACGAAAGTGGATTGCTTTCTTAGGGAAGCTGCTTCATACAGTGTTAAACACATAAAAAAGCAAACAGCAAAAACCGTGGGTCACAAACTGACTGCTTTAAGAAATCGTCAGCACCCCTGAGTGTTAAACACTTTCTGTGGTGGTAGAATATTGCGAAACAAGTGTGAGTCATGCTGCTCTTTCATTGGTTCTCAAAACTCAATACTATTATCTAATAAAATAAAAACTACCTGGATTTAAAACAAACTAGGAAATTCTCATGATCCTGCCCAGGTACATGACACAACAATTAACTTTACTAATGCAACTGTGTTTATTATGAAGACGGTGTTTCTGGAGTTGTGGTTTTGCAAGTTTATTTTTCAAGAAGTCAGCGAAGTCAAGCGTTCCTTCTAACATCCTGTGATCATCAGTTGTTGCCATCATGAGACTGAAGGCATATCCAGAACGGATAAGCATGAAGGTCCCAGGGTCCCTGCCTAGCACTCTTTTCTGCCCACCTCATGACAAAGGATCTCTCTCAATGCATATGCTCACTCCCCCTCATATTTATTAACAGTCCTGACTTCTCTCTTGAGCTCCATCACTCATCATTCATCCATTGCCTATTGAACATCTCCAAATTGAATATGATAGGTACCTTACTACACTCTTTACCACTCACACCCCTCCCCCCCCCCCCGCCCCAACAATGAACACCCATCATGTCCTCCAATGTTCTCCATCTCGGTAAATGATATAACCCATCACTCAGACCTTTGCCTTTCTGATTTCTCTCTCACCTTCCTCATGTCCAATCTATTTGCAAGTCTGCAATGCTTGAAGGCACTAATTCCAATTCACTTCCGGAGTCATTTACTTACTCTTACCACCAAAGTCCCTCAGACTCTGCTGCAGTCTCTCACCTGGACCACTATAAAGCTCCCTCAAAAGTCTCCTCACTTTGATTGTTCCTCCCTGCACACAGCAGCCAAGCTAAAATTTTAAAGAAGTAAATCAGATTCTATCACTTTATTGCTTAAACAATCCCTCACCTCCCCCAACCCCCACTGATAGATTTCTACTGCAATTATAATAAAAGCTGTACTCGTTTTTCTAACCTTTTTCTGTGATCTGGCCCAATCTGTCTCTCTGGCCTCATTTTTTAGCATCACCCCCCCCCAACACACACACACACACACACACACACACACACACACACACATTAGTTGAGTAAAACCCAGACACACTGATTTCATCTCTCAAGTATTTGAAGTATTTGCACTCTGTCCTAGCAGGCTTCGCCCCAGACTTTATATGGCTGGTTCCTTCAGCATCCCTGTCTCTGGTCAAATGTTACTTCAGAGAGATATGCTGCAAGCACTCCTTTAATCTTCCCCCTAGTTATTCTATATCTACTTACCACTCGAGTTTTTAATTAGCCTTTCTTTTTTGTTTATATAGCATTAGCTGTCCTTGCCCTATAAAATCTAAGTGCTGAGTGTGGTGAGGACAGAGGTTGGATGCTCCTATTCATTATTCCATCAGCAGCTCAGCGCCCCAAAGTGCTAGGCACACAGCAGAGGCTCAATGAACACGGACTGAATGAATGATTGCACTCAATCCTGAGGGTACATGAAAGAACGTCCTTCAATCTGGTTACCAAGCTTACATATATACTCACTAAAAAAAATTAAGTATTTATTCTGCCTATTATAAGTGGAATCTAATTTTGGTAATAAATATGAACAAAATACTAAAGTCTACTTTAAAGTTTATAATTGTGCTGCAAAAGATAGATTAGGAAAGGGGTCTATTGCCCAAAGTAGGGATCCCATGGCTAGCCCCTGACCTAAGCACTGAGAAAATAATACAATCCTTTAAAATATAGTGGTTCTATATCAGATCATTTTCCAATTAGAGAAGAAGTTTCCCAGACAGATGCAATATTGCAAAACAGAATTCAGTGCCGAAAAATCTAGAAGAACTTGCTCCAAAGATAATTAAAACATGATTGCAAAGTTGCAGTAAACTCTATAAAACAACAACAACAACAGAAAAAGTGTTTCTAGTATAATCTTTAGAGAAATTTGATCTTTATTATTTCTTATCCTGAACTACAGCCAATCAGTGTCCATGTCTATAAAACAATATGTGAATACAAGTTTAAAAGCCATTATCAATTGTTCAGTTACTGTGGTATCATACAGATAAAAATACAAAAATATTTTTAGTTTTTGCCTGGTTATTCAGTCTGTAAATCAGTCTCTATTATTCAATACTCATATTTTAAATGATCACAAGTGAGAACTGTGCAGAAATATCTAACCCCTGATGATAATTCACAGCCATGTAGCTTAATTTGATTAAAAGCTAAGTAGAGAAACATCCTTTTAGAAATATAGAGGTCTGGCAGTGGATCATAAATACAGACTGAAATCCAACCCAAAGTAGGAAAAATAATTAGGATCATTCGCCTTTACCATTCTCCAAAAAGCAGCAGGAATGAAATAACAGAGTAAAATAATAAAACTTGAGAGCCCCTGATTGTCATTTTAAACCATTCTCAATGTGAAAATAACCTGTTGATAAACGACAAATGAATGCCTAAGTGATTTCTCATAATTGGAATTAATTTTTAATTAGACAAGAAATAAAAAATGCACAAGGTTGTAGCCTAGAGTTGCCAAATAAATGGTAAACAACATTCTGACATTTGAAGGTTATGCTATTTGGCAGCATCTTTTAACATCAGTAAAATTATTTTATCACTTAGAATACAAAAGAGTCCTTTAAATGGCCAATTCCAAGGCAATAATTCCCAGTGGGGGCAGAAAAGTTTCCACTTTGTCTCTTAGATCTCTTTTTCCTTTGTCCTTAAGTTTGATAAATTTGCTCTTCTGTGTTATTCCTTCTCGCCGTCTAAAGTGTACACCTGCGCTCAGTTTTGCCGAGAGGCAGTCACATATTGTGATCAACTATGAAAATCAGACAGGGAGCCAAATTATATTGCTCTGACATCTGTCCCTCCATCTGTTAGAATTTTAACAAACAAGTATAAAGTAGACCTCTGATTATTCCATATACATACGACCCAAAATAACTTCTATATGAGCGAATCTCTAAAAATTCCCAGTTTTATTTAAAAAATAAATAAATAGAGCAGGAGGGCAGGTGCTGCATTTAATTCATATTCTACTGAACATTATTTCTATAGTACTCCTCCTTATGGGATCAATACACATAGACAAAATACTATTTTCCTACGTCAGCAAATATTCTGTTCTTTCTTATAAACGCCTTTGCTTACTTAATGCAGAATGAAGATTTCCTATAATGGGATTACAGCTCCATTCCCCATGCTGAATTGTCCATGGACTTGAACATGCTTTTTAATTACTTTGAATAATTATCTTTATATGTTAGTAACTATTGCTCAATAATAGTAAAATGGAAACTTTTTAAGTGCCTTTATTTTTATTCACTTCAAGAGTTGTCAATCAACTCTTATGTGCTCAACAATCGTATGTGATTAGAGTGTAAAGAGAAAAATCCCTTTATTTTGAATAGGAAATCCCGAGGGTTGGGCATGATCTTGTGTTGACTGAACTAGGGCAAAGCTGGGCACTGGGCGGAAGCCAGACGTTGTGGTATTGAGCATGACAGCATCCCACCCACCTCACCCTGCTCGCAGGCGATGCCGGAATATGAACAAGAAAATTAACTCTGAAAATCAAAGACTACTCACAATATGCCGGGTAGTCCAGAAACAAAAAATACACACAAAACGACCATTTCCTCCTCCACACACAACCAACCCAGAGACAAAGAAATCTGTGGAAATTTCCAGCCATCTGTCAGATAAAAATGTATGTCGAATCTCAGTGATGAAGCTTGCTATTAAATTCTCATTTGCAAATCTGCATATGCTTGCCACCCTCCTTCTAATTATTGCAATATATAAATATTCCCTTTTCCTCATTCTGGCTCAGGAAGCTCTACAATTTCTATTTTTATTTCTGCCATGTGTAGTAGTGGGGCACTGCCACAGGGTGGTGCACCATGCATATTTAACTGAAGGCTTCTGCAACTCCTGTGAGGGTGCAGCTATAGCCTGTTCTAGTTTCACTTAAGCTGGAGGCATCAGAAATCAGATAGCTCTCTGGGTGATTAAAATAAAAACAAAATCTTCAATCATACAGGTCTGCTCATCTCACGTTATGACTAATTGTAACACATCTCGTGAGCTTTGTCTCTTTGTTGTTACTGTTGGTCCCTTTGGCAATTTCTAAAAACCAAACTACACAAACAAACTGAGATTAGAAGGGAAGATGAGAAAACTTACAGAGACCACATGCACCTTGCAAATGAAAACTGCACAGAAATATCTAACCCCTAATGACAATTCACAGCCTTTGCAATTAGGAGAATGAATGCATCAATGTTATTAAAATATTTACCCATCTATTGACCCATCTAATTGTATAACAGAACAGAGATAGTATTTTGTTAGGTAATTTAAGGTGAGTATTGGATTTATTCTTATTATTTTTCATATTGATTAATGTTAATAATAGAGCTGATGAAATGACAAACCTCCTTATTCAGATCAAGAACTAAAGTCACATTTCAACTTGGGATTCTAGAAAATCACCACTTTGTCTCTAGAAAGTGTTAATGTTGTATTAAACTGTTGTAGGAATGAAGGGAAGAAAAAATAGATGCCGGTTACTTTGAGGTTAATGGCTAACAGCGATGTTATGTAGAGTGTGAGAGCACAATGGAAAAACTCATCAATATTTCTTCATATCGATTTTTTTGTTCCATTGTTGAAAATGAGTGGCAATGGGAGTAGCAACTAAAGCATTTATCTGAAACTCTTAGATCGATAGAGGTACATGCTGAGACCTACTGGTTCTGCTATTTCTCTCTTTAGCCCGGTCTGCAGATGAACTGTGACAGCCTTTACCCTTCACCCTTCCTTTAACCCTTATTCTTCTCCTTCTAAATCGAGAGGAAAGGAAGAAGGAATGTAGCTCAGTCTCCTAATAGAGAAGGAAATGGAGGTGCCTGCTCAGAGCTTCAACAGACACACAAAGCCTTCATTTCATATCGAATAGGCAATGAATCTTCTGTGACCAGTTCGGTCTGGGGCAAAGGTAAGCAAGTGCCTTTGAAATTGGGGCGCACTTCTGAAAATGCTGGTGTAACTGGGGTGATGCAAAGGCAGCTTACTTTTTAAATGTCAAACCTGAGTAAGGTGACTGAATTGAAATGAGCAAGCTAACCTGATTCTCCTGCAATAGTGTCAGGGAAGTTGCAACTTCCTGCTTAGCCTGCTTCTAATGCTACTAGTATATTTGAGGGGATAGATATTAGCCCTGGATTCCATAAATGTGTCTAATTCATGCCTTTACTTTCTAGTGTCCTGAAATTTAAAAATTGGGCAAAAGAGAAAGCAGTTATTGTCTACTATACTGCTTAGGCTCATACCCTAGGATACAAAATACCCACATACTAGTATGTATTCCTGCAATATCCTTAAAAAGCTGTGTCTTCCCGAATCGGGTCCTTTGAAGATCATTAAGGACGCATCAAGAACCTGTCAGGAGTGACTGCCCAGCTTGCGGGGAGCTCACTTCAGCAGAGCACACTTTAGGTGTCCACGGTCAATTTAAAGTTTAAGGTCAATGTGTAAGAAGCTTTTCATCTCAGGGGAGTTCAGCGGCTTGGTTTTGGGAATCCTACCTCTCTCGCAGGACCTGCCCAGGTAGCCTGTTCCGGAACAATCACAGACGTATCGGTTCCACCCATCCCGGCACATGCCGTTGTTTTTGCAAGGGTTGCTAAGGCACGGTTTTGCTGTTTCCCTGGAGCAGGAGGGCTTCACTCCAGCGGTGCTTTGCACTTCAGCCATTTGCCGGATGTCTTTGCTCTGGCCGTCGATGAACAGATCCCTGATGCAGCCCACGTAGCCATAGTTGAGCAGAGCAGTCCACACCTCCGTGGGGAAGACGAGGCCGGCTTTATTTTCTGGGAGGCCCCCCAGGTACAACTCATCGTCCAGGTCCAGAATCTCACTCTCCCCGGGGGCAGTGTAGGGTGTGCGCAGAGTGTTGACAGAAATGGTACCTGTGGCAAAGACAGGAGACACACAGATCTTTACAGCGTGCACCGTGTCCTACATACGACCCTTTCCTTCTCTCATGGTCCTCCGGGTGATCTCCTGGAGGGCGCAATTTCACATGTTTCTTTCTATTCCTAGTGTCTTTGTACGTCTCAGTGAAATTAACAGAGGCTTGTGGAATTAAGGCAGACTGTAACTAAAATGATTCTATAGGCATGCCTCATTTTATCACAGGTGGCTTTATTGCACATCACAGATGTTGCACTTTTTACAAAATAAAGGCAAGACCCTCTGCTAGCAAAAGGATGACTTGCTTTATTGTGGTGGTCTGGAACCAAACCCACAATATCTCTGAGGTATGCCTGTATTTGACTTTGGGTATAAAATCCAAAGTGCACAGCCAACAGAGTGTTTGCCAGCCTCTCATAGTTTAGCCAAAAAAAGGAAGAAAGGAAGGAAGTGAAGAAGGAAAGAGAAATTGGCATTCCATATCACTAATAGTCAAGAAAGAAAGAGATAGAGAAAGGAGAAATCGACATTCTCTACCACTCAGGAATAAAGTCAGACTCTCCCTGGTTAGTACTCGTTTTTAAAGCTGGTACGCACCTGTGAACTAAGGAAAGATCGTGTGCATCCATCTTAAACTGACTTGATTGATTTTACTGAATATAATAGTTTGACTGATTATCTATGTCAACACCTGACTTAATCATTCTTAGCCACATGAATCAAGCAATTAACCGCTAAGGTCTTGGTTTACTCATTCCATATATGGGCATAATAATATGACCTACCTCACATGGTTGTTTGAGTATTAAATAATACTAGTAAAGTATCTAGTTTATAATAAGCACTGAATAAATGCTGTGTGTCATGATTAATCACAAGAACCAAGTTAAATTTGCTGTTTATTATTTTTAACTTTTTAAAAATTAATTTTAAAAAGAGGAAAGGAGAGAGAGAGAGAAATATTGACTGGTTGCCTTCCACATGTACCTCGACCAGGGACTAAACCCACAACCTGGGTATGTACCCTGAACAGGAATTGATGCCCCCACCTTTTGGTGTACAGGATGACACTTCAACCAACTGAGCCACACTAGCCAGGGCTGCTGTTTACTTTTTAAAAATCAAACTAGTTACTTATCTAAATTGACAAATTACCCCCCCCTCACTCCAAATATAAGAAGAAAATAATTCTATTAGTTTATAAATACATAAGACCCTGGTCCTAAGCATAGGAGGAAGAGTAGACATTCACATGGGATTCCTTGAGGATCCCAGAAAAATACTTGTGGAATCCATTAAAAGAAGAAAGAAGGAAAAAAAGAAAGAAAGATGGAAGATGGATACAATCAAAACTTCCCTCCTGAACCACCAGACTACTCAAAATCCCACCAATATTCTATCTCCAGAACGATCTTCGTAAAAGTGCAAATATGATACCAGAAAAGAACACCACACTGACCCATTACTGGGTTATCCTAGAGTCCTCTCAGGTCTAGACCTTAAAGCCTAACAGAAGGAGTCTGAAGAGAGAAAGTGGATTAGAAAACACTGGTGCCATGCCAGCCACTGACATAGAGCCTCAGGGATTTAGGGGGCGGACACACAGGAGAGGCCTAAAGACAGAAGATGGGGACAGAAGTAGGGACAGGCAGGGGAAGTGTACTGTGGGTAGGAAGATGCATTTCAGTTGTTTCATGGGATACCTGAGACCAGCTCCACATGAAAATACGGCCTGTGATGAATGTGAGATGTGTATCTGAGGGCACAGCTGCTGCCTCTGTATGGTGCCAGGGGCATTTCAGACCCCAGCAGAGGGGCGCTCCGCAGCATGGGCAGCGTAACGGGCTCTGTCTGTGTGAGGGAGGAGGGCGTGGGAGCCGCTGGCAGAGACAGTGCAGGTGGCCAGGTCATTAGAGGACATCTGTCTCTCTAGAGTTCCACAGAATGAAATGAAGAAAGCTCCTAGGGGAGAAACACTCAAAGGTATTGCTATTCCGGCCTTCCAACCAGGAGCGTGTAACCGTCATTTCAGAAGGAGGCGGCAAAAGGGAAAGCGACAATGTACTCATTTTTACTGTTCACATCTGTGCAAGCATCTAGAGGAAAACTCATTTAGGGACAAGAGGTAGCATAAGATCCTACTGAGAAAAATATAAAGCATAGCAATCTGGGGAAATGAGAGGTATAATTTTGAGAGAGAGAATGGTGACACTTCTCTAAATAGAATTTCATTACATATATTTTTAACTGTCCAACATGCCCAACAGGAAGCAGGTTAACAGATGATCCCCTCTCCCACACAGCAGCTAATGTTAAGTTAGAAAATGATGAGACAGGGAGTGCTAATAACAAAAGAAAAGGTGGACATTAAAAAGAAATGTACTGCCCTGGTCCGGTAGTTGAGTTGATGAGAGCATCATCCAGATACACCAAAGTTGTAGGTTCCCTCCCCAGTCAGGCCACATACAAGAACCACCCAATGAATGCAAAAATAACTGGAACAAAAACAAAATCAATCTTTCTCTCTCTCAAATCAATAAATAAAAATTTTAAAAAGCATACTGTATGAGAAAAGCAAAGAGTTGTATGGCAAAGGATTGGGTGCAATGAACACAGTGACTTGTGTTTTTAAGATAAAAGGGTAACACCCCTTCTTCAAATTAGTTCAACAAGGCCAACTGGAAATATATAATAATAAAAAAAGCATAATATGCTAATTAGACCAGACCACCTTCCGGATGAAGCCAGGGCTGTGAGGGAAGCCCAGGTCCCGGGTGCCAGAGGGAAGCCGGTGCCAGCAGCCGGGGGAGGGAAGGCCTACTCTTGCACGAATTTCGTGCATCGGGCCTCTAGTGAATATATAATATTCAGAGAGAGAGAGAGACACACAGAGCAAGTGAACAATAAAAAAGTTTTACAAGAGTGGAAATATGTTCTTAAAAATATGTAACTTTTCCCACATGCCTTTTTTATTCATGGAACAAACTTGTTTTAGCTCAGGGAAGAAAAGACAACACGTGGAGAAACTGTATTGTCCTTATTCATGATGTTTTAAGTCTGACACTAAGAGGATGCTTGAAGGATCCCTGAGATGAGGGAATTCAGTGGTTTGCATAACACCCACTCTTTCTGACTCCCACATAGTTCCATAGCTGGGTGCACCATGCAGTTTCCATATTCAATGTGCCCACACTCTCAGGGGCAACACTGCTGCCAGGTACTTCTGATAATCACCTACGAACTGTTGGACAGTGAGAATGTGTGACTAGGTCTCTGGATTTTACTTATAGTGTCTTAGGGTCTGTTTTGAACAAAGCGTTATAAGAAAGTTCAGAGACATTTTCATGAACATACTTGCTGTGGCCAAACTCTAACTTTGTGATCAGTTTTCTGACCACAACACCTAAAATTAATCCACAGGTTTCTTCACATATAGCCCAGTGCACACATGCAAACATGCTTACACACACACACACACACACACACACACAGGAACAAAAGTTTAATAGAAAAGATATTGAACACTACTACCACTGAGGCAATCTGATATTTTCTTTCTATTATATAATTTTCTTAATACAAATGCTAGACATGACTCTCCAAATTCACTTCAACCCCAGGTTGTAAAGACAGGGATTGAGAGGTTATTATCATAATGATAAGGATGTTCTTCCCATAGCTCCGTATTATCCCTTTGAGAGACAATTTTAGAATTCTCATGGGAAGAAGCAACAATGAAAGACAAGAAAGAAAGCGAAAGGAATATAATCCAACTTTCAACTGAAATATAATCCAAGGGGAACTCAAGCTTTAATTTAGACCTGGGTTCAATGTAAGGAGTCACATCCAGCATATGCATGGGTCAGATATCATCCCCACCCTGTATTTAAGAACATTTCTGAGCATAAATAATAAATTCACATTTTATGTGAAAGTGTATGTAAAAGGGGACAAACTATTGAAGACAGTTCTTAGTTATAAAAGTCGAAATCAACTTTACAATTTGATCTGCTATTTATAACCTGTTCCTTTCCACTTTTTTTTTCCATCCAATTTTTCTTGGCTACTCCACTTCAAAAGATTAGCTTACAAGGTGTGAAGAAACATGAAGTGAAGGTGAGATTTAGAATAAGCCCATTTGGTTTCAAGTTTTAAATTACTGTAAAAGTATACGTGACTGGGAAGTAAGGGGGTAGGAAACGGTGGGCTGTAATGGGAACAGCTTTGGCCTGGCCACAGGAAACCAATTTTCATGCTCCTGCTTTGCAACTAACTAGCTGGCAAGTTTAGACAAATAATGGATTCATTAGGCTCCAGTGTGGCTCTTGTGCAAAAATAAAGGAATTGACTGGAGGGTCACTAGGGTTCCTTTTTGAATAAAATTTTTGAAGTTACTGCTTAAAATAATTTTTAGCTAAATATCAATTTTATCTATCAATAATTCTGATACACCTCTCATTGCAGAAGAGAATCAAAACCTACAAACTTAAAAATGTACTTGTCAAATTCATAGTCTATTAACAAAACCAAAATCAGTAAAAAAAGATAATCCTTTTTTATCCAGCTAATATGCTAATTAGACCGAATAGCAGAACAAAGGTCTGGACGACCTCCCAGGGGAAGCCAGGACTGTGAGGGGCTGCGAGGGCTGAGCCCCTTACATAAATTTCATGCATTGGGCCTCTAGTATAAGTGATAAAAGCATAATGGAGCATTAATTATATTGTATAATGCAAAATATAGAATTCTCATAATATATAGATAGTGGGGACAAAAAGACCACGATATTAACAATGGAAGTTTTGGAGTATTGGGGCTATGAGTGGATAATTCCTTTCTTCCATCTTAATTTTCTGTGTCTTTTTAAAAAAATGTCATGTGTTAGGTTTAACAGAACTCCTCCTGTTCTGCATTATGCACTAAAATAAACTTTATTTTAAAACAAAAATATAGTATATTGTTTTTGACTTATTACTATATGTTTTCTGCTTACTTG